ACAAGGCAGACACCGCTCCGAGCCGCAAGACGCATTACAGAACCGCAGTGTACCTACCCACGGGCGAATGGCGAGAACTTTCCAAACAGCAGCTGTTGGACATGCGCCCTCGTACGCTGCCAGGTGAACCAAAGCATCAGCTCTTTGTCCCAGTCTCGCACGAAGAGGTCCTGCGTAACCTTCCAAGGTACGATGTGCAGCGTCAGCCGCAGGTGCATCCTCATCATCTCAAGGACTCTGCGCCGACTCCGCACGCGGCTGTCGTGCCGCAAACTTACGATATCGATAGACAGCAAGGAAGTTTGATGCCGATGCCGGAAGATGGCGCAAGGAGCTCGAGAACAAGCAAAGGTGGCGCTTCCCTCTCTCGTCGAGGTCTTGCTGACGCGATACGCGCTCCGGCCAAGGTTGAAGAATCACTGGAAGTGCTAGATGCGGCGGTCCACCGTCCGCCAGGGTCTGCTACATCGTCACATGACGCAGCCCAGGAACGTGCTTCCACCTCTGCACCTTCCAGAGCCCGGCGCCCCGACGAGACTACACCATTTGTCAAGCATGACACCAACAGGCCGTTGCTCTACAAGCACGCGCTCGATCAAGCTGTGGATTACGCTTGCAAGACTGGCAAGTGTCCTGGAGTGCACCACTTTGGGGTGAGTACTCGATTGCTAAGGGCTGCTTCGAGTCGCTGCTGATGCGAACACCTGTGCAAGTAGTCATTGGACGCTTTCGCCACCTCGAAACAGTATCATTGGGGTGATGAAAAGACGGGCATGAAGAAGAGCGGTTTCTTTCGTGTAAAAGCCATAGGTACCAAAGGGCAGCGGCTGATGCCGGGCGAGAAGGATGCAGATCCAGTCCACAAACATAATTTCCGCCTACAGCTTGCACCTGGACAGAAATTCCAACACGGCAACGAGAAATTCGAGGGTGCGCCAGAGGATCATGAGATGCGACATCGACTGCCTTCCAACGACTGGTCAGAATTGCACCTGGTGGGCAAAAGACCTGACCGAAGCATACGCAAACAACCCCGACGGATAGAGACCGAGACCGCTCAGGCTTTCTCTGAACAAGAGCTTTTGCGCAAAATTTCGAAGCATATGCACACTTGGAACAGGGAGGGTCGCGATCGAGATGCTATCGAGCTTACTCCTGGGATAGAAGGAACGCTGAAAGGTCCAGCGCGCTTCTACGAATATCAAAATCACAAGCTTCGAAAGGGCAAGCCGATGCCGACGATCTTACTGACGCCACATGATACCACTCTGAGTGCGGAAGATGTCGCAGCGGCGATGCGGGCAAGGGCCGCAAAGAAAGCTCGTAAAGACGCTGCGCAGAGGGCTGAGCAGCAAAGCACCTCGATCACGACTCACGAGAGTCTCGATACTGCTGGAAAGCCGCTCGACCAGAGACTGCTGCGCGCAGCCAATGCTCCGGCATATCATCCACTACGGGCATCGTATGGCAGCGTTCTTGAACATGCTGCACAAGGATTCAGACGTTTGTCGCTGCAAGCTCCGCGGGAACCACATAGCCCCAAATTCAACCCGGTGCCCTACTCGTCCATTGCCAACGCCCCGCCCAACGCCAAGACAAACAAGCCCGTGGAATCTGCTTCTCCTGCAACTCTCGTGAAAAGAGTATTTCGTGGAGGCGTCGGCACGAGCAGTGAATGCTTGCAGGAGCGCACCTTGGAGGTAAGGCGATTGTCCGTGATGTCTAGCGCTGTTTTCTGAGACACTCCGCGGTCTCGTACTTGTTCTTCGATTCAGCCAACTCGAAAGCTCGTCTTTGCCAAGCGAGGATCCATCGCGCCTTCGCATAATCTGATGAGGACGATAGCTTTGCCTCCGCGTACACCTTGGAAGCGCAGGCTTCAGCGCCGTGGAACTCCGATGACGACCATCGAGTGGAGCAAATGGACAAAGTACGAGCCTTTGACTCAGAGCACCATTCAGAAGAGTGTCAACTACTGCCAAAAACACGTGTGTCGTGACTTGAAGCGATTCAAGGTGCGTTTGTGACGGCTGCTGTGCGTGAGCGGGGCTAGTTGCTCACCGGTCGACGATTGTGCCTCTTCGCACCTAGCCCGAAGGACCGATTCAGAAAGTCGCGGAACCTTACGCTGTGCATGATGGCAACACGGTCATTGACACTGGCGTGGTACACGGATACGGTTTCGATGCGCACAATCGGCCGCTTCCCACGGGACGTCTACGTCGAGACGGAACCACCGAATATCGCATGGCCATCCTGATGTCTCCCACTACACTGCATCAGGATGACTTTGGAAATACACTGATGGGCCTAGCTGCTGGTGCCGATGCCCGACAAAAGAGAAGCCGGAGCGCTCTTGAGCTTACTCACGGCTTTGACTCTAAAATTCGAGGCCCTGCGGACTATACAGACCACCAATCGCCTATCGTTTATCACTCTCGCAAACGTACCTTTTTCGACCTGACTCCACACAACGGCCAAAGTATTGAGGGTGCATCAGGTCCTGCCCCTCACCCATTGAAGACGGGCCAATGGGTTGCCCGATATGGCGATACTCCTCATGCCAAAGACACAGAGGGTACACTCAGAAAATTCGACCGCATAGCGCACCAACAGAGATCGAGCCAAGCTCGGCCCGAACAGCATCTTACTAGCGAGGGATCCAGTGTATTGCATCCCGCTCCCAGGGATTCCGCGGCTGATAGGGTCAAGCAGCCGCACCATCGTGCGCTACCCCCAACAGACCCCGAATTTGCCCAGCTCAAGAGCCCAGAGACCGGTGCGCATGCCGCTGGACAAGGGACTTTGGCGACAGATCATGCCGGTACTCCTTTGCCTCTCAAGAAGCTCAACCCGAGCGCAAAGCCGTGGTCGCCCGCATCATCTGGCTCGCTGCATCTTGATCATGTGGCCGCCAGCTTCCGGTCGCTTAGACTGGATGAGCATGGTAAGCCCGGACGAGGCATGCACACGGAAAATGGTATTTTGGGGCCCCATCCAGAGCTGCCAGAGGATCCTTTTGGTATGCACTCGTCGGTCGCATCTTCAAGCTCCAGCCACGAGAGCAAGGTCCATCCAAAGAGCTCTCTTGAAGCTTCGCCACATTCATTCGACACGGTGCCTCGAAAGTCTTGGCTCGCACCGAGGGGGGTGCACTTGACGTTCGCAGATGGTGTGTTGCCGCATTGGTCTCAGGCTCTGGAACGTCAGAATGCCTACAAAGCTATCCAGAGAAGCGCGGATGCATACCAAAAGGAGCGAAATCCAGACATTGCAGGCATGCATGTAAGTGCCTGAGATGCTGGTCGGATGGATCGATCAGGATCGGGTATTCATTTGCGATGTAACTCGCTCACTGTTTTCACTACGCAACCTGAAAGGTGACGAAACCTCTTCGTGTACTGAGGAGACCTTTCTACAATCATGAGGTAGCCTTCAAGGGCCGTCCGCGCATATTCTCGGACGGGCAAGGTAGCGGTGGACAATCTGAACGTCATCGGTCCCTCTACGTCCCTCTGGCTGCCGGCCAAAGCTGGACACACTCGCGAACCAATACCGTATATCATGGTCAAACTCATCTGGACCCGCCGCGCGATACGCACAGCAGCACAGAAGGATTGATGGCGTCGCGCAGCACAGAACAAATAGGGCAGCTGAAACCTCAGCATCAAAGAGCAGAGTCGGTCGGGTCAAACAGCCCGGATGACGGCGGCGAGCATCATCGAGCATGGAGAAAGCGTACCATTGAGGAAAACTTGCCCCATATTCTGCTTACCACGGAAAGCAAGCGTACCAATCTGGGCAAGAAACATGCCCAGAGACCACTCATCCAAGAAACTTTGGGTCGAATGGCTCATGAGCACCGGCTGAACGGCGGTCCTTTACGCAATATGCGACAATTTGAAGTATGTTGCTGGTCCTCCCTTGTTACACATTGATATGAGCCTGACAGCGCTCAAAGCCTTCTCTCAGGTCACGCAAAAGCTCGCGCCCACACAATTCGAACACGGTCAGCGGGTGGCTTTCTTTGGTATACCGAAAGATGGAGCCGGAAGAGAGTTGAAGCTGCCAGAAGACCTCCCGCAAGCGTATGAAATTGTGCCGCCTGGAGTAAAGCCGGACAAAAAGCTGCAGCGTATAGGTATGCCAGTGGAGCTTCGCGAAGGCTTGATGCTTGTGGACCACCGTTCTGGCCAATTGTGGGAAGGTGGTCGGGCGCCGCGAGTGCTTGCGCCTGCGAGCGTCCCCACCACGTCAGCATCAGAGCCGCACGCATCGCATTACAAGAGCCCAAACGGCAAGCCAGACGTCAGTCTTGAATTGCCTCAAACTTCCCAGTACGCTGCACAAGTCATAGAGAAGCAAAGATCATTGCTTCAGGGAGCTGCGAATCACGCGCGGGATCTGCAATGTCCCGACATGGCTGTTGCGAAAGTAAGTCATCGGCTGGTGCGGCGATATCGAAACGACTGGCCTCACTCAAAACCTCAATTCTCCAGCTGAGGGGTGGCTTCTACACGTGCGGTCCGGTCAGTCAGAAGCGACTGGAGACCGCCGCTGATGCTGTAAGCGAACGCGGCACGAACCTTGGACGCGTGAAGCTCACACTCGCGCCCGGCGACAAATATCGGGAGCCTCATACCGGCAAGGTCTTTTACGGGCCATCGAAAGACGTCGGCAGTCTCAAGGCAAGCTCTGCGCCAGTATCTCATCCGCGCAAGCTTGATGTCATGCAATTCACCACAAATCACGATGAGGCCAGGAGCTCATCTCGAGCTCATTCTACCACGGCTTCAGCGCTTCGGACGCAGCCAACTTTGGGCTCAAAGATGAATTTGGTGGGCTCTGAAAGTGCTCGCAGGCCCTCTGGCACGAAAGAAATGCGTTTTCGCGACCAGGCCAAAGTGACAAGTCGACCACTTGCGTTCAGGCCAAGAGAGCCATACACAAGACATCGCTCGAGCCACGCTGCAAGGCCGACAGCTAGTGCGCAAAGAGCTGAAACTTTGCGCTCGGCACACGTTGATGACCGAGACAATCGAGCACAGGCACCAAGCAACGCAAAACCCAGCGGAGGCAGTGAGCAGTACAAGCCTAGCTTCCCTAGAGGGATCACTGGAACCTCTGCACTGAATTTCAAGCATTCCTCGACCTCTGACTTTCCTCGAGACCGAAAGAGGATGAGACAATGGTCGCCTGATAGTGATGACGAGGACAGACGCAGGCCGACACATGCGACTGCACGCATTCAAAGTGGATTGCAGTAGTAGCCCATGGATCTATCGCTCAACCTGTGCTGCAGTGAAGGCACCAGCGGAACTCCCTCTTGGCGCTCGTACACTAAAGCGTTTGAGCCCGGCGATAAAGATTACGTTGCTCTCTGCAGGACGTCAGGCTGCCCGAGCACTTGCGGATTTTCTCCAGCTGGGACTCAAATGTACTAAGAAGCCCACCAGTGTGCATAGAGGCGCTCGTCTTGTGTACTGCGAACCAACGCGACGGTTGACGCAGGTCGGACACAAAGCAGCGCCATATGATTCCTCGCGCGACGCCAGTATCTTTTTGTCAGCGTCACTGGAACGGTTTTGTCGCTGATAAGCCTTTCCTGGGCTGCCCCCTGTGAAAACATCAACACTTTTGGAGCTACGGGATCAGCACTTTCCAAATAGCCACCACAGGATGCACATTGTTTTGCGGGCAAAAAGGAGCGCACCGAGAACTTTGGTCTCTCCCGAGCGTGGTCATGGCACCCATCATTCAAGCGTGGACACTAACGAACGTCGAAGCAACGCACTTCATCAAACCCTAAAGTCGTACTTCGGAGCAGTCGCTGGCAACGTACTAGGCGACGCCCATCGATGAGAGTAGGCGGGTGTGGCAACTTGAGGCTAGCACCCACTCCGAAAATATGGCAAGTCGTCACTAAAGACGCAGGGGTTGTTTGCCCAGCTTCAACGGAAATCACCAACAGCTGCGCAGAGCCACGAGAACGGGGCGTGCTTTTATGAAGAGGCGACATAGCACCGGTAAGATCAGCAGTAGTGATGCTAGCGTGCATTGCTCGTGTTTACGTACCCCTCCCTCCATGGTCTTGAACTGGCGGTCAAGTGTTGTCACTGGAAAGTCACACCAGCTACTGGACGGATGACGCTTTGGCTTCTCGCGCTGCATGGCTGGCATCGCAGGCGCGCTGAGGCTCTTTGCGACCTCCCATCACTTTACTGTTCAGGTCGTACCCACCCTGTACTTTGCGCAGCGCAAATCATCCCCCCCGTACCTCGGGGCTTGTTGATACTCCCGTCGCCTCTGTGGTGGTTCTGATATAAGCTGATGTCCATCTAAGTTCAACATTCCGCTGAGCCCCTTCAGATTCGGGGTGCCAGATGAATCGATCCAGCCTGATCCCCAAAAGGTGGCGGTGATGTTTGGACACACATGGCTTACAGTAGCGAGTCGCGGTGACCTTGACTGCCAGGCACATATTGACTCTCAATTGATATTCGCAGAACGCGTAGATGCATTAGATATGTGCAGCCGATGCGCAGATAATCACGTGAATGCAGCTAGTATGGGCATCCAGACGACTCACTCATCTAAATACCTATACTTGACTATTCGTCTCATGATCAGAAGCTTTCATTCAACCTTTTGAGATAATTCCAGCGGACAGGGAAGCAGTCTGAGTCAACTTTGAGATGCGAGTGGGTCCACTCTGCGCGAGAGGACTTTGTCTTGACGAAGTTCCGCTGTCAACGCAAATGATCGATGTTGGTTTCTGCACGCGTGACTGACCTTGGAGCTGTGACAGTCTATGAGTTCAACAACATCAAGGCAACCCTAAAATTCTCGTGGTGTATGCCGTCGCACAAGGTGACGCAGGTATAAAAGGAGATTCAGATTGTAGCTTGGGAACGACTCGAGAGGGCCTCCACTTCTGATTACATCTTTTGCCCTCTTTTCTTTCATTGAGCCGGATGATCTTCGCTGCCATGGGGCGAGGCCGAAGCTCCTTATCGTCTTAACTCTTAATGTTAGGCACGCGCCCGACAAGAGCAATTTGGCTCGCCATGCTGATTGCGCAGCTGTTATGTATGGCACGCAGCGCCCTTTCACTCCCACTGCAAGATGGGAATGGGCATGGTACTGGTGTGCCGCCTCTTTGTGAGTCGTGTGATAGCTAAGACACGATTGAGTGTTGTCATCATGTCCGGCAGTCCACTGCTGAACGGGCGCAAAACTTTGCTTGCAGCTCTTGGTGAAGGGCAGGTGTTGCTCCGTGCGAATGCTCGTGCATCCAGTCGGCCAGCAACAGCGACAGCAGCAACGGCGTGGACAGTCTCGATCGTGACGGGCCTCGCGACCAATGTCGGCCAGACAGATCGTCACAGCTTAGCGCAACCTCAGCCTCAAAAAGTGTTTCATTCGCCCAATGTGCTTCATCGAGGCACAACCCCCAAGCCTCCCCAGCAGCTCGACTGGCTCGGAGATTTCGGATCCTCGGTCGACGATGACGCAGAGCACAAAGCCCACAAGCGCTGGCAAGCAACACGTGGCCGAGGCCAAACGATGGGCCACGGGACCACATTCTCTTGATCCCTCTAACACTGGGCTCACAAGCATTTCTCCACTCTTTTTTCGAGACTAGCATCGGGGTGTCTTCCCTCGACAATTCATTTTGAATCCCGAATGAAGATGGATGTTTTCTGCACTTTGTCCTGGCTAATTCCTCGTCACGCCTTCAAGTATGACCAGAGCACACTTGTGGCCGCATGAAAATGCATCGCGCCACTGCCAAAGAGGTTGGGTCCTGCCCGCTGGCGAAAAACTCTCAGAATTGGGTTCGCGGTTACATTGTGTCATATCAACATCAGCGATGTTGATGTGTTGCAACAACACCACTTTGACTCTAGATCCCACTCCGTCCTTCCAGTGCCCACGCAAGGCGGGCCTCCAAGGCGGGTGATGTCGACACCTTGCGCAGACCCAGGAGGTCTGCTGAGCATTGGACTGTTCAGGCGCCTCTCAAGTTTGAGCCGACTGGGTCCCTCCGTAGACTGCGTAGATTCGTCAGATATTTCAAGACTTTTGATTGCGCAACTACGCGCAGACAATCATTCCGATCGAGAGTGCTCAAGGACGCGGGCAGCTATCGTACCTGTCATGACATCGTCATCACTATCAGGCCCATTTCATCTATCGCTGGTGCCGATGTTGTGAGGAGATTTCAATTTCTTACTGAGTAGAGAGCGGGGCTCATAATTGGGCAGAGACATGAAGGGGCCCGTGCTTTATGCGCTTAGACCGAATGACTGGCTGGAAGCTCGAGGGGCTCGAGCTTGTAGTGCTCGCAGCTTCACGAATGCTGTGCCGGCCGCGAAGCAAAGTATCCTCGTCACTCTCCTGCAGGCAATGCGGCGTGTGCGTGACTCTAATAATTGAAGATGCTGTCGGCAGAAAGATCAACTATCCAACAGAGCTCTGCAACTAGCACGGCCCACCAGACATCTTGTGACTAATCTCACACTCATTATCTCAGAGTTCCGTGTGCGCCAGCATCGTCCTCCGACTTCTCACCGAATCGCTCCGTACCCAACCGTAGCGTGTCTGCAGTCTTTTTCCCGTCATGCGCACACCAGATCAGCGGACCAATCCAGGATCGAGGAGCCCAAAATGGCCTCTCGTTCTCTTTTTCTGCACTTGGCTTTTATTGACTAGGCTCTTTGTTTTGGGGGTTCCGATCGCCATAGCTGGAAATAGCTGCAAGCAGGCCCTGAGCGCTTCTTATGCTTGTGAGTCTTTCAACGATGTTGTGATCCCTTGAAGTCGCTTTGATTGAATGTAAGCACTCTTTCCGCCCCTGTGATCGATCTTGTCTTCGCTTGGAACAGCTAAAGTAGAGTGCCAAAAGCAGCATCAGCCTCCGCGTCAAAGATTCCGATTATGGGTCGAGAATTGCCAGCCTCAGAAAGGCGCTCAATCACTTCGCTTGGTTCATCTGATGGTCAGGAACACGCATCGAGGAATCTAGTGACCTCGCTTGGTTCATTTGATGGTCAGGAACACGCATCGAGGAATCTACAGAACCTCAAGAAAAAGTGGGATCTGCCTGGAGGAACATCGACCGGCGACCCAGAAGGCCAGGCGGACGATGACACAGACTAAAGCGCCTGTATTGCACAAGCGGTCTAGACGACTTTGCCGCATTGTACTCTGCCCCACGGATTTCACTTGACAAGCTTTGAGCCAAGGTCCATGGGATGTATTTGCTGTTGCTCTTAGGAGTTTGCCAGAATCTCTTCAAAGATCGAAGTTCCTAGACACCAGAGTGAGAGCGCTTCTGGTCTCTGATTGTCCAGACGACGCAATGGGGGCAACACAAAGTCTGCGCGGCTGTCCTGTACGATACTTGACTCCAAGGTGGGGGCACAGGCACTTCTGCTTAGATGCTACGTCTGTGCCAACGCTGCTGCGTTGCAGGGACCATTCAGCCTCGCCAGGCCCGACAAACACAAAATGAAAACGCCACGATAAAGTGGCTGGCAAATTGTCGACAGCACAAGCAGCGCACCTTTTCCAGAGTTGATCAGCGATGAACGCCATCGGTGTGTACTACCTCGGCTTTTTATCGTCGTCGAGTGACAATGACCGAAGCGCATGAGGACGGCAGAAGGGGGCCCCCAACTATAAGTACGCGAGCGATATTCACCATCCAATCATCTTCATTATATTCTCTGTCCCCGCTCCGACTTCCAAGACCCAACTTTCCCATCATCACAGAGGCGTAAGAAACCAGACAAGAAGCTATCTATCTCCGATCAGCCCTGACGCACGACACCTTCAATGCCAGATGGTCTCCGCTCTCTTTGCGCTCTTGGCAGCGATGTCTGCCTTCATCATCCTGTCCTCTGGTTCTTTGGCGGCGCCCATTCTGCGCGCGCAAGAGCAACATGAATTGAGCCGCGCCACAAATTTTGCCGGTGAGTGACCTCCTTGTAGATAGCTGCTTTAGAAGCACCTTCTTCGTTGGACCGGACTTCTTACACTACAAATTTTCAAAACAGTTGACAACGACAAGGGTAAAGCATCCGTAGCTTTTTCGAACCTCAGAAACCGGCTGCATCGACGTGGGGCCAAAACTGGCCCGAGTACGGACTCAGCCTCGCGTTTGCAACAGCGACACTCTGATTTGATCTCACCAAGCATCATTCAGAAGAGGTGGGAGCTTCCAGGAGGATATTTCTCGTGGCACGGAGACGACGTCGGAATCAAGCTTTAGAGAAGCGAGCCAGAGCACGTCAGGAGTGTTGACTGAGGCCCGACAGCATTGCATGGCGCTAAAAGCGCTTCAGGCTGCAGCGGTCAAAGGCAGACGCACCGGCTTTTCGACCTAGCTTCTGGCACGATCGACACAAGGCATCTGAACCAAAAATTTGACCTCTCTCCGCCCTCCCTCACACTTACCAGCCATTGTGCTGCCGTTTGCGGGTGAACGTGCTATCTTCAAGCTTTCTCCATTCTGTAACCTGACCCGTACTTTTTTACACGGCCTCTCTGTAAGAGATGCAATCACGATTTGAGGAGACAGAGTAGCTGTGTTTGATGGATGACACGCGCAAAATGCTCGTCTCGCCTGCGCAGGACGCCAGTGCACCTTGTGCCATCACATTTGAACACAGTCAAGATGCGGCTGATGATGTACCGCATCTACCATCATGTAGAAAGACCAACAGAAGTCATCGGACTTTGAAGGCTCTCGAGCTTGAGAATGTGGGGCTTCACGTGCCGAGCTCGGGCTGAAGCGTCCGCAAAGTAGGAGGCTCAGGCGCCGAAAACATGCCGCAAGTGTGACCCGACGTAAGGGACGTTGCGATCAACAGTCTCGTGATCATAGCACTCCGAGGAAGGGCTAGACGGCCTCAGTGTTATTCGTCAAGGTACGCTGGCTGGTGCATGTGCGAAGTTCGGGCACAGTGCGTGTAGCAAAGATGAACGGACAGCCACTTTCCCGGCGGACAATATCCCACCTCACTTCAACTACGCTGATCATGTTTTCGTTGAGCACGAAACTCTCCCTGGTGTAAAGCGCCACTCCCCGTTCGGAGGTATGCCATGTGTTGTCATTTGGCTCAAGACCGTCTTCGCTCCACCGCTCACTTCTGCACCTCTATGTCGCTGTGTATCACTGTAGACTTTTCCAAACACGAGAAGCGCGCCAACTAGTGCTGGCCCGTTGCGCGATTGTCGACGTGCTTTGGTAAGCTGCAATGCGAAATACGACCAATGCAAGCTGTATAAGTAGGACGTCTCATCGAGTGCTTCTCTCGCTGCGCTATTCTCCCACAGCTCCGAATCCAAACAACTCCTCAAGCCCAGCACTGTCTCACGGACCTGCCACCGATCACATCCCTCAGCATTTGGGACACTTCTGCCTTGACACATCGTCACGCAACATGTTCGCGCTTTTCAAGACGGCATCGTTCTATGCCGGTCCAAGTGCCGGCGCGCGCACTCTATTGCCTCTCCTTGCAGTCGTGCTGATGCTATCAGTGTGCCTGTCAAATGCAGCACCTCTGAAATCTGGCAAGTCGGACGGACAGCTTTCTGGCCAGTCGCAGCGCCGTAGTCCACGTGAGTCCGAAGCGCAGGAGGCAACTCTTGAAACGAGACACGTCAGCAACATCGTCGCCACGAGATTGCTGACACGACTTTCCACACCGCTTCTCTTCTGTCGGCTGTGATGTGCGATGGGCTTCGAACAGTCTCGGTCAACCTCGATACTGCTCTTTCGGATGGCACATTCGGACTGGAAGTTGATCTGGGTGGCGCCGATTGCTAGAAGCCTGTGCTGGAGCGAGTCACATTTGGGGTGATCTCAGTGCTTCGACCCTTGCTTCCATCGTGATAAAGGCAGAAAGCAAGCATTTGGAAATGGCCTTTACTCTCGCTACCGCCAAAATTCCCCGACAGATAATCACTACATCACGACGGAACCAGACTCTTGACTTCTTTTTTTCCGTCGCTCTCTGCCCTCACTACCAACGACCTGGCTGCCCTCACTATGACCGACCTCTTTGCCACATCGTACATCGTCTGTTGATGTTCACGGAACATTCTTCAAAAGAGGTCGTCGTTCGATCAATCACGTACTAAATGAGGTGTGACTCGCCAGCGCTTCACATGAGCACCAGATTGTGGCTTTCCCTGCGAAGAGACAGAAATGGAATGTGAAGTCTGCCTGATTAGCCAACATGCTTGAGATGATGGACAGGCGGGTAAAGACCAAAGGACGGAGGCTTAGTGAGCACAGTGACCTCCTTTGGCCAGCTGAGAGCTCCGCAGAGCACCAATTATTCAAGGTGGGAGGCAGTGCAGCCTCGTTCTCGTTTGCGTTGTCGTCGCTGCGTGTGGGCACGCACTTGACTCACAACGCTGCCAGTTTGCATGCACCTACATCGCGCAAGACCGTGCGAATGTGTCGAGGAAGTGTAGAGGAGGGGTACACCATCTACAACCGAGGGGCAGAAGGAGGCAGCGAGGGCCTTTGGCCCTCGGTCAATATCGATGCTGTGCCTCAACTGCCAACCTTGGGGCGAATAGTCTAAAGAAGCCTGGTATCAAGGGACGCTCAATTATAAGCGAAGTAGATACCCATCTATCGGCCCATGCTCTGCGAGCGAATCCGCAGTGAGCACAGCAGCGTTCCTGCTACAGTGTGGTGATATGTGAGGTTGCCACTTGTCAGCGAGCACAAAAAGTACAAAAGACACTCAAATCACACCTCGCCGCCCCCGAGCACAATTCCCTTCTCCTCATCCTAGGGCGCATCTGCAAAGGCAACAAGCTGTTCATGCACACCTATCTAGCAAGACGCGAAGCAGATCTCATCCCATTTGATGCCCGCCTCGAACAAGCACCATGGTCGTCTTCTTTCCCGCCCGCACCCTCTCTGCTGGCGTTCTGCTGCTTCTCTACGTCGCTTCGGCCGCGGCAGCGCCCACCAGTAAGGAGATGCGTGTGCACCAAGAGGCTAGGGAGCTTCGTGAGTTTGCTCGTTCTTCGTGCGTGGATCAAATCGTTCAGCAACAAACAGCTCAGTCTCTCTGTCCATCCATCTTCTTTCCGAACAGCTTACGTGCCATACGGTACCAAACCCAAGAAGATTTCGCAGCAGCACTGCTTGACCTTCACCGCAGACGAGGCAGCAGCTTGTCATGGAAAACGGCACTGACTGACCGGCTCACGACCAAGAGAGGCACAGGTTGAGAAGGCGTAGCAACGGCGAACGGTTCCAGCTCAGGTCGACGACGGCTTTACACGCAAAGAGAAGACCATCGAAGCTGTCGTATCTTGGAAACTGCCCTCACCTTGACGATGCCGCTTTACCGCTGCTTGTACCATTTGCGCTCCCTATGCACACTACCACGAACGTTTTCGATGCTCTTCATTTGCTGCCAAGGCGCTTCCCCACGCCTGGGCTCCTTTCAGCCTTCGCCTCACTCCGCCTCGCTTCTTTGCTTCTTCGCGCCTCCAACAGGTCAACCTCTGCACACCTAGCAGCCAGTTCGATCTTCTTCAATGGACATCCACTCGCGCGCGAATGTCTATGGTTCTTGCGCGACAGCGTGACGGGGCGATGTTGCATGGATGATGACCCCTGAAACGTAATCATGTTACAATTCTTCGTGAATGACTTCTCTTGGCGTATGATCGGAGTTGTGCGGGTGCATCGTGTCGCCGTGCTGATGTCCAATCGGATCGTCGACAGCATGCGTA